AAGGTGATCAAAATGAATAAAAACAAAATTCATAATAATTATCATTTTACTAATGCCATCATTTCTTGAACAATGGAGTCAATTTTTTTAAAATGCATTGAATTTTTTTTTATATGTGGTTATACGTTATATAGAAAAAACAATAAGAAAAAAAAATGTTTATATATTGTTTTTTTTTTATAATAAAAAAAAAAAAAAGAAACAAAATGAATTAAAAACAAAAATTCTTTTTAATTACTAAAAAAAATAAAAAAAAATAAAAATTTATGTTAAAAGAAAATAAAAAAAAAAAAATATTAAAAAAAAAAATTAAAATAAAAAAAAAAAATACAATATTTTGTTTTAAGAATACAACATAGCACATATATAAAAAAAAAAATTAAAAATAATTTTTATTTTAAATAACTACATTATATTACGTTATTTTTTAAAAAAAGGGAGGTGTAGTATGTTGTATGTCATATAAGCATATGCTCACAGTATTGTAGTGTATACAATATATGAAGTTGACATATGCCCTAAATATAAGTAAGAGTATCATGCTCACAACATAGCAACACTTTGTTGCTTTACTTATATTATAACAGCTATACATAAGCGCCGTAATATGATCGGTCACTTATGTATAGACTGGCCTGCAGCGTGGGATCTGCAACGTAAGCATTGTTACGCTCTTGTCCACGCCGCAGCTTAAACGCTAAATGTATATGCCTTCTGCATATGCATACAAACATATATACACACACATACAGCATGTTATATACTCCCATTCTGCCGCTGCTATAAGCGACAGAATTCTTTATGTAAACTTTATGTACTTTAGGCTAAGACTTTATTTGAATAAAATACGGAGAGCATTCGCTGTCCAGAACTCAAAGATAATAGAGGTTCATTTTATTACAGTTATCAGTGCAACGAAGAGCAGCCTTAAGGATAACATCGGCGTACCGCACGGTCTCCGGGGCTGCTGTGACTGTGATAGCAGCAGTCATACCGGTTGACTTGCTTGCCCAAGAGCGCAAAAAAATATGGAATCTTCGGCAAAGAGGAGAATTCTCAGAACAGGCGGCAAAGAGTATACGACAGCAAACCATAGTCTCGTGGAAGGCGAGATGGTCAAGCAAAAGGTATGGAAGATGGACCGCTAGAATAATCCCCGATCTAGAGAAGTGGATAAATAGAAAACACGGTGAAACGTCGTTCTATTTGACACAACTACTCTCCGGAGATGGATACTTTCGAAAGTATCTAAATAAGATGGGGAAAACTGCTGAATCCAGCTGTATTTACTGCGAAAATGCAATGGACGATGCAGAATACACTTTCTTCAATTGCAACAGGTGGTCGGAAGAAAGAATCGACCTGGCAGATATACATATACACATTCGAGAGAGCAGAGAGCATCGAGAGAGAGAGAGAGCAAGGGAAACATAGAGCATAGAGAGATCTTTTGTTCAAAATTTGACCATCTCGGTCGAGCGCATGAAGCGAAATGATTGTGCGTTCGTATTTTTTCCTAGCTCGAACCTAAAAGTAAGGAGCCGAGCGACTCCAAAGCTCTCTGGGGTGTTAAACAGTGTTGCCAGGTTTTGAGACATAAAAATAGCAACATCGTCTCTAAAAAATAGCTGAAAATAGCTAAAGAAATTTTAAAATAGCTTACAAAATAGCTGAAACCTATATGCATTATGCATTTACTTAAAATTTTATTTTTAAATGTTATTTAATAATGTTACAATTTGGTCCACATCCAAATCATCATCAGAATTATATTTATGATTAACTGGAATCGTGTTTAAATATTTTGAAGGCACGGTATAAGCTTGATTTGCAGAGCAGCGTTGCTACTGTTAAATACTCTCGTTAGGTGATCAATCGAGGAAATTGCAGTGTGCTCTGCAACGTACAAACATAATGCCGCCTCCTCCTTCGCACTTTTAGTTGTTGGCAATAGCTCGAAAACAATTTTGTTTTTTTGCCCAAAGGCGCCAACCGCAGTTTTATGTTTTTTTTTTGTCGCGGCATGCATTTTAATATCGTGCAATTTGGCAAAAACACTGCGTTTGCAGTATATACAATACGCCCGCGTGTTGTCCGACTCTTCCTCCTTAATCCAATCCTTAAATTCGGTGATTGTTTTCACGAATTTTCTGCTTATATTTTTTATCCATCACATACAATTAATGCCAAGAAGCGCGCCAAGAAGAATAAGCAATGGTGTAAATTCACAACTAGTGATGGTATAAGTACGATGAAGTCGTTGTGGTAGTATCGCGCAGATCATTACCACTGACCAGAGAACACATAGACTAGACATGTAGAACAAACTTTTTCAACACCGAAAAAATGCGCTGAGCGGACCAGACAACTTCGTATTTGGTCGGCTCGGTCTTCTGAGGCTCAAGCAGTGAAAATAAGGCAAGACAAAATCAGTGTGCTGCGACTGCTGCCACGAAATGCACGCATTACTAAATGAAGCAGGGCTATGCGCTCTTTTTCCCTTACTCACTCTCTCCCTCTCTTTATGCTCTCTCTCTCTCTCTCTCTCTCTATATGGTCTCTCAAATAGCAGCAGCGCACAGAAATTGAATATTGTTCGCGACGATCCCAGCTCTTTCCTCTTGAGTGAAGGGTATACCGAAATCATAAAAGCATTTGTCACGCTCATGCAAACAAAATGTAAGCGTTTCGATGGTTATTCGTGGGAAGGGTATGAAAGCGTTGATACGCATAAACAATATTATTTCGCGACGGGCAAGTACACACACACTTGTAGTCCCTTGCTACATGTATGAGCATTTGTGACCTGCGTGCGTTACTCTTGCTGCTTGTAGCAATTTTAAAGCCCAGCATTTGCATTTGGTCGGTCTTACGGACTGTCATAACCACTTTAAACAGATGTACTATGTATGAACATACATACATATGTACATAAGTACATTTATATATTATTATTGCTAATCATGTTTATAAATGTGTTTATATCCGTAAATAATTATATATAATTAAAATTATTTTATACACATTTTTAACCGAAAAAATTATCGTAAAACACTACTAACTTTATTAAATGCTTTGCAATATATGAAATACACATGTCATATTATACTCAAGCTTTACTCATTATTGTCAAAAATTTCTAATTAAGTCATAATGGCCCATTTGATAGTCACCCTACGATTCAAATCATACAAAATTTACAAAATAATAATTCCAGAGACAATTAGCTTGCCATCCCATACAAGCATACACATACACAAATGTATGTATGCATGTGCTCACTTCACAAGGCAGACCAACGGCAAATTTTGGGCTTTACAATTTGCACAGCCTGTTCTGCACAGAAAGACAACATTTTCGCGACGAGCATGCACACACACATTTACATCCTTGCTACGTGTATGTGCTTTTGTGTGCGTGCGTCGCGAAACTCAATTCTTTCTCAGTATTTTCGTCTATTATCAGCCCAAAAGTTGCCGTTGGTCTGCCTTGTGAAGTGAGCACATGCATACATACATTTGTGTATGTGTATGCTTGTATGGGATGGCAAGCTAATTGTCTCTGGATTTATTATTTTGTAAATTTTGTATGATTTGAATCGTAGGGTGACTATCAAATGGGCCATTATGACTTAATTAGAAATTTTTGACAATAATGAGTAAAGCTTGAGTATAATATGACATGTGTATTTCATATATTGCAAAGCATTTAATAAAGTTAGTAGTGTTTTACGATAATTTTTTCGGTTAAAAATGTGTATAAAATAATTTTAATTATATATAATTATTTACGGATATAAACATGATTAGCAATAATAATATATAAATGTACTTATGTATGTACATATGTATCTATGTTCATACATAGTACATCTGTTTAAAGTGGTTATGACAGTCCGTAAGACCGACCAAATGCAAATGCTGGGCTTTAAAATTGCTACAAGCAGCAAGAGTAACGCACGCAGGTCACAAATGCTCATACAGGTAGCAAGGGACTACAAGTGTGTGTGTACTTGCCCGTCGCGAAATAATATTGTTTATGCGTATCAACGCTTTCATACCCTTCCCACGAATAACCATCGAAACGCTTACATTTTGTTTGCATGAGCGTGACAAATGCTTTTATGATTTCGGTATACCCTTCACTCAAGAGGAAAGAGCTGGGATCGTCGCGAACAATATTCAATTTCTGTGCGCTGCTGCTATTTGAGAGACCATATAGAGAGAGAGAGAGAGAGAGAGAGAGCATAAAGAGAGGGAGAGAGTGAGTAAGGGAAAAAGAGCGCATAGCCCTGCTTCATTTAGTAATGCGTGCATTTCGTGGCAGCAGTCGCAGCACACTGATTTTGTCTTGCCTTATTTTCACTGCTTGAGCCTCAGAAGACCGAGCCGACCAAATACGAAGTTGTCTGGTCCGCTCAGCGCATTTTTTCGGTGTTGAAAAAGTTTGTTCTACATGTCTAGTCTATGTGTTCTCTGGTCAGTGTCATTACGTACAATTTGGGACTTAATCGAAAAATGTTTTTTTTTTTTTTTTTTGCTTGAAATACTAAAATCGAATTCAAAATATTCGTTTGTAAAATAGCTAAATTTATAGCTAATAGCATTTTCAAAATTTTCATAGCATTTAGGGTTCAAAAATAGCTAAAAATGCTATTAAATAGCTAATCTGGCAACACTGGTGTTAAACCCTCAAAAAAAGCGTGCAAAAAGCTTTCCACTAGTTGTCTAGTCTATGTGTTCTCTGGTTAGTGGCGTGACTCAACGCTCGAAAAAAGTGTGCAAAACGCTTTACACTACTTGTCCGCTCTATTTGTTCTATGGTTAGTGCTTTAACGGAGAAAATATGTTGTGCAAAAATTAAATCTCACGGATTAGTGTAAAGCTGAATTTAAATATTAAATTAACAATAATACATGATACAAATCATGTTCTACTTTTACGTATAAACGCATATTCATTTTGTTATCGATTTTTATAAATATACTTACATACATATATCGATGTTATTTCATTTATTTATTTGTTATTTGTAGCCTTTATATTCATTGTTAATTATTTTGGTAGCTGAATTAGATGGAAACTAATCTAAAATATCTTAAATACGCGCTCGTTAATCGACAGATAGAGCTAACCAAATCTGGAATTATATCTTTATCCGATAATGGTGAAAGTAAACCCCCTACGTATCTCGACAAACAAATGGTCTTCCCTGGATCATTAATAAAAATTATTGGAACTTCTGATGGTAAAGAAAGTGACGAATGTATTGTTCAAATTTTAAACTTCAATGCTGTTACAAATAACCAATTTTACGAAATCAGGACGAGCTATTTGGTTAAAGTAGCGGAGGAAATTTGGCCATTTGTTATTAGCATTGACAGTCTTGAAAGTCGGTTACGTTTAGTTAACAATAGCGAACAATGTCTTTGGTTGACTAACTTAAAAGTCAATGACGTTGTGTGTGTGCGTGGAGAATTGTTTAAAAATGGAAACGCGAATTTTGATTGTATTATCCGTTACATTGGTCCAGTGCAAGAACTCAATTCCGTAGGATATTATTTTGGAATGGAAATTTTGGTTTGTTACTTGAATGTTACTAATATTAATCAATTCTCCACTAATATATATAAATTGCTGTATATATCTTAGCATCTCAATAACGGGTACTCGCCTCAAGCCAAGGAAATTCAGTTCGCTGCAAGGTACATGCAGTGTGAACCTAACTTAGCAATATTTACCACTGCTAATTGGATAGCTCCTGTATCAAGTGAATCAAAACATAAACTATCCGCTAGACAATTGATCAACGAAACTATTGATCGTGTGTACACAGCCATTGTGCCATCAACATTAAATGGACAGCGAAGTGATCACAAGTCCAAGAAACGACAGCCTACAGCACATTTTTATGAGTCATTGATAGAAACAGACGTGAATCAAAACACAGATAAATACGATTCCGAAATCATGAGTGAGTCTATTAAAGAAGATGATTCCACATCTATAAACGGGATAAATAAATATAATAATAGTAATAAATTATATTTAAATAACATTCCGATACCTGTAGGACGTAAAGGATCAAGTCTAGTAAGTTGTCAGAAAAACGAGAATATTTTTGACACAATGAAGAGAACCGAATCAAATATTAATGAAAGCGATACTAATGTTATAACTAATAGTGACATTGAAGAGTCTAGTAGAAAGGACCATAATATAAGCATTGTTAGTAATCGTCTGGAAAAAGAAAACGTCGATTTGGCCGATTTGCTCGGTACCAATTGGCCGACAAATGCCGGAGATGCTGGTTTCATTTTAAACAGAGCTAAATTAGGTTCAAAATCATACGACAATAAATTGGAGACATCTGCATCTAGCTCTACCTTTGAAACTTTTGCCAAGAATGGAAACAGAGTTTCGCAAGTACCTAGTTCATCTATAGAAGTCAACTCTAACACTGGTAAGAATATATTAACATATCTTATATATATATATGATATATATGACTCAGATTATATTCGGACGAGAGAGAGTTTAGACTACTGCTACTAAATTTTTATACCCTGAACCCATTTTCAATGGGAAATCAGGGTATAATGGTTTTGTTGAAATGTATGTAACAGGCAGAAGGAGGCGTGGCAGACCCCACAAAGTATATATATTCTTGATCAGGGCGACGAGCTGAGTTGATTTGGCCCTGTCCGTCTGTCCGTATGTATGAACGCGTCGATTTCAGAAGATATAAGAGCTAGAGACTTCAAATTTTTTTAAAATGTCCGTAATTACAGCGCGCATATAAAGTTTATCATCATCATCAAAATCGATAACTCATCCCGATCTTTTCTTTATCGATAAAAAACCTTATCAAAAACCAGTTATAAAATTATATCTTCTACACCTTTATTGCTAGAGTCTCCAAATTTTTTATGTATGCTTATATGCAATATATGCAATTTCGGTTTTTGTTAAAATTTACCCCCCAACCTTAAATTCACCCCCTCACCCTCACTTTTGTAAAAAGCGTATTTCAAATACTAGAGACTTGTGCTTTGGCAATTACATGCATATTCATGTTATAATCATAATCTGTTTGTGTATGTGTGTGTATGTGTTTGTGAATGTGTATGTATGTGTTTGTGTGTGTATGTGAGTGTGTGTATGCGTTTGTGTCTGTATGCATGTGTGTGTATGTATGCCTGTGTGTGCGTACGTGCGTGTGTGTGTGTGCGTGCGTGTTTCTTGTATAAGCTGAAAGACGCGAAAAATTATTGAAATATCTATTGCTCCAAGGGTTCAGGGGATCTCGTAGTCGAGCAGTCTCGACTAGAGCTTTCTTACTTGTTTAAAATATATTACTTCATTGAACACAAAGTTATTTATATTCACAAGAACCCAACACACCGCTCCTAATCACTGGGAGCGCTTATATATATATATATATATATATACATATATATATATATATTTGTATACAAATTTACGATATCTCTGATTCTTTACATATCAATTTTGATAAGTAAGAAACAAAGAACCACTTGAATGGAATTTACATCAATTATCTTAATAAAGCTCATTACTGATAAATGAACTTTCTGAGATCGGTGATAAGACACAGAGCCTTTACATTTAGGACAATTAGTTCCTTCCAATCTGCTGAGCAATAATCACAGATCACCGTTTACATTTTACACCTATTTTTACTTAAAATTTGTATGCCATTGACTTTTGTTGATTGTAAATATAAATTCTGCATATACAGTGAAAGTGCAGAGATTTTACGATGAACTATTGGTCTGAAAAATTTGTTTTATTTTCGTTTCTTGTGTATTCATAGAATTTTATAATGTACATGTTCTGTTCATGATTATTAATAGAAAGTTTAACAATTTAAATGCAGTAGTCGGCAGGTTCGCATGAGTTTTTCATTATAAAATTAGAAATAATACAATTTATATAGGTACATATACATGTATTTTTAGTATAGGGTATTTTGTAGCATTTATTCTCTTACAGTTCTATCCCTATATTTTTACTCACGCACACTTACAAAACTTAAAAATAAATCATGTTGAGTCGCATTTCATTAATAGTTCCATCAGATAGGAGAACGACCAAGGCAAATTTACACGATAATTTCGTATTGAAACAAGTTACTTTGCATATTAAATAAATAAATAAAAATGCATAATATTCCCTTGACTGTTCTGGAATTCAGTGTATCTAGCAAAGAAAACTATTTGGAAGGTAGGTATATTAAAATATTTATTGACCTGCACATCACATCGGAAATGAATGTCGCTGCGTTTGCAATTTTACACATTTTATGATAGGGAGATTATAAGAATTCGTAAGTTGCCCAATTTTATAGGATAAATTAATAATTTAAGATTATTCGAAATATTATGCAGCTAATGTATGTTACAGAAGGAAGGAAGCTTCTTAGGGAGTGAATAAGTCCACTTTTTTCCTCTAATTTGAAAAAATTAGGTGTTCAAAAAGCTAGTATACTTGCAGGTCTGATCATTTGCAAAAACCATAAGCTTTTTATATCCTGAACTCATTTTCAATGGAAAATCAGGGTATAATGGTTTTGTTGAAATGTATGTAATAGGCAGAAGGAGGCGTGGCAGACCCCTTAAAGTATATATGTATATTCTTTATCAGGGCGACGATTTAGTTCTGTCCGTCTGTCCGTATGTTTGAACGCGTCGATCCCAGAAGATATAAGAGCTAGACACTTGAAATTTTTCCTAGGTCCGTATGTACCACGCGGATATCGAGTTTTACTGCAAATGTCGATAACTTGCCCCGTTATTTTGTTATCGATTAAAAACATTATCGAAAACCAGTAATAAATTTATATATCCTACATCTTTAAAGCTAGAGTCACGAAATTTATAATGTTGATTTATATTAAATTTCACTAATTAAGCCCACACTGCAGACCATGTATGTTTATGACTTTTAAATGTTTTGATTTTATATTTGTAATTCTAATATTTTAGATTATTATTTTTATATAATTTCAGAGTTGCCTAACATAAGTTACCAACAATTACATGAAATACCTGGAACAAAGCTCACAGTTGGATCTCTGGTTGAAGTGTCTGATTCTGGGATTTCTGATTTATATGGTGTAATACGATGGATCGGTATTCATTCTACCTCCAAAAATATATTGGTAGGAATCGAAGTAGAAGACGATCCAAGCTTAAGAAATCTTAAAACATCCGATGGAACTTATAATGGCGTTCGGTAATTGCCTTACTTTAGAAATTTTTACGTATTAACTAAGTTAAAAGATTTTTTATTCATTCACGAAGTGAAAATGCTTTTTTGTGTTTTTCCGTAATTCCTATTGAAAATGGTTAGTTAAAATTTGAAATACATACTTTGATAACAGAGCTCGCAAATGAGAGTTGATCGTTTTTTCGTATATGCTCTGTTTTGTATCATAACTGAAAAAATTGTGCAGACACGATCTCGCTCTGAGCGGCACTCTTTGTTTTGTTTTGAATCGGTTTTGGTCAGACGTAAAGACTAATACGATTTTCGCTCACACAAAGACTCTCAGCAAAAGACAGTTTGACTAAAAAACTCAACAGAAATGATCTTTGCCTTCGTGTGCATGTAAATACATGTATACATACATACATAAAAGAACGCAGCAATCGCGTACCCATACATACGCAAAAGACTGTTTGCCAGTCGCGATAAAATCAGTTTCTGTCTGAGTCTTTTTGATTGTGTCAGTGAAAGACACTTATTTGCAGACAACGAAAAAGTGTCAACAGTTATTTGCGAGCTATGTTTGTTTTAATGGTGTGGCAAGTCGAGAGTCACTATACAGTACATATTTCAATGAAGGTAGTCCATCGACAAGAATAGTTATAAAGAACAATTGAAATATCAATACGTCGAAGGGCTCAGGTGTTTTCGTAGTCGGCCAGTCTCGACTAGAGCTTTCTTACTTATTATACCCTGAACCCATTTTCAATGGGAAATCAGGGTATAATGGTTTTGTTAAATGTATGTAACAGGCAGAAAAAGGCGTGGCAGACCCCATAAAGTATATATATTCTTGATCAGGGCGACGAGCTGAGTCGATTTAGCTCTGTCCGTCTGTCCGTATGTTTGAACGCGTCGATCTCAGAAGATATAAGAGCTAGAGACTTGAAATTTTTTTTCCTAGGTCCGTGTATAGCACGCGCATATCGAGTTTAAATGTCGATTTTAAATATCGACTTTAAATATCGATAGCTTGCCCAGTTATTTTGTTATCGATTAGAAACATTATCGAAAACCAGTAATAAATTTATATCTCCTACATATTTAAAGCTAGAGTCTCCACATTTTTTATGTATACTTACATATATGCATTTTATACAATTTCGGGTTTTGTCAAAATTTACCCCCCACCCCTAATTCACCCCCTCACCCTCACATTTTTAAAAGGCGTATTTCAAATACTAGGGACTCGAGCTATTGCTCGAAGGGTTCTGGGGATCTCGTAGCCGGGCAGTCTCGACTAGAGCATTCTTACTTGTTTTATTTTAAAGTACTTAAATTCAGAAAATTAAATCTTTCTAATAAAATTCAATAATTATATATTTCAGATTATTTCACTGTCGTGAAGGTGGAGCTATTTTTGTTCCGCCAAACAAATGTGCGAGTGATCGCAGGTTTGCAGATATAGAAGGCAGCTATTCTTTTAGTGCGGTAACAGCCGATACAAACGCTATAAAATTTGGACACGTTGATTGTCCTTCAGTGCTGGGAGCTGTACCACCGTTAGGTAAACTATAAAGAAACAATTAAACTTGGACACTAAAACGATATTCAATAGCTGTTTTAGTGCATTCACTTATTTTTTTGTTGTTGTCCTTTGTTATTAGCAATAAAAGATTTAGATGAATTGGAAGCCATATGCGGAAAATTTAAAGGAATTCAGGGACATCACAATTCCTGTTATTTAGATGCAACATTGTTTTCCATGTTTACTTTTACTAGTGTATTTGATTCCATTTTATACAGAAGGCCAAACTCTGAGGTAAATTTAATAAAATATTAAAATAAATATTTTTAATCATTATTATATTCATTTCAGGATATTTCACATTATAGTGCTGTACAGAGTGTGTTACGTGATGAAATAGTTAATCCATTACGAAAAAATGTTTTTGTGCGCGCTGACCGTGTCATGAAACTACGTAATTTTTTGGACCAACTTAGTTCTGTAAGTGGTTTAACCAGTGAGGAAAAAGATCCAGAAGAGTTTTTAAATAGCTTACTATCTCAAATCATGAGAGTGGATCCATTTTTAAAAGTATGTTTTTCAATCATAAAAGCAGAATATAACGGAATTTCATGTACAGTCTTTTTTTAGCTCAGCTCTGGGCAAGATTCTTATTTTTATCAACTATTTGTAGAGAAAGATGAGCGATTGACGTTTCCAACAGTACAACAACTGTTTGAACAAAGCTTTCATTCATCCGACATAAAATTAAAAGAGGTTCCGTCATGCCTAATTATTCAAATGCCTCGGTTTGGAAAGAGCTATAAAATGTATCCTCGCATTCTACCCTCTCAAGTGCTGGATATAACAGATATCATTGAAGATTGTAAGTTATTAACATATGTGTGTCTTTTTAAAAAATCAACGCAGACCAAAGTAGTCACAATTGAAATTGGTCGAACATGTTGAACATGGAGAAAAGCCGTAATCGAAGAGTGATAAATGTCTAATTTCGAAAGAAATAAACTGATTTAATTGCTCGTGAGTCAGTGTGTAGCTTCCACCTCGTCTGGATTGTTGCTTAGATCTAACACAAAGTCAATGCGGATAATTAAGGTTTATAATTGAATTAATAAGCTATAATAATTTTGATTTATTGGGTAGCTATAAACATAGAATTGCTTTTGTATATTGTACTTTTTTTATAACCTGAACCCATTTTTGTTTGTAACAGGCTGAAGGATGCGGGACAGACCCACAAAGCATATATATTCTTGATCAGGGCGACGAGCTGAGTCGATTTAGCCCTGTCCGTTCGTTCGTATGTATGAACTCGTCGATCTCAGAAGACATAAGAGCTAGAGACTTAAAATTTGTTTTCCTGGGTCCGAGTTTATCTAAAAAAATCGATAACTACTCTCGATATTTTGTTATTAGAGGTAGAGCCTGCAAGTTTTAGATGTAGACTCATATGTATTTTAAAGAAGTTCGATTATTTTCTTTTGTAATTTACCGCCACCCCTATATCCGCCCCCTCACCCCTATATTTGTAAAATGCGTATTTCAAATACTAGAGACTTGTTGCTTTGGCAGATGCACTCCCATTGATGTTATAATCACGATTTGAAAATTTTCCACACTGCAGCCAATGCGTGTTTATGCTTGCATCCTTATGCTTTTCTGTGTGTTTTTTGTGTAAGCAGAAATAAGAATTATTGTGAAATATCAATTCTTTGAAGGGTGCAGGGGATTTCGTAGTCGAGCAGTCTCGACTAGAGCTTTCTTACTTCTAGTATTTTATAACAATGTATATATTTTTTATATTTTTAAGCCCCTCGACAGTGTTCCGTTTGTGGGAAACTTGCTGAATTTGAATGTCGAGAATGTTTTGGTAGCTTGCAGGTTGGTTCTGGTCTCGAGTGTACAGCTTTCTGCCAAAAATGTCTTAAAACAGTACATACGCATGGGAAAAGGTATGTTCCTAAAAAATCAATTATACTATATATATTTAAATTATATTTTTTAATTCACAGAGTAAATCATGAATCAAAGAAATTGTCTGTACCAATAGACTTCAAAGTAATGGCTGATAACATGGTTTTACCAAGTCTTTATATGGAGCTATTTGCTGTTGTATGCATAGAAACTTCTCATTACGTAGCATTTGTGAAAACAGGCTCTGGACCAGATGCTCCTTGGTGTTTTTTTGATTCAATGGCGGACAGAAAAGGTAAATTATTTTCTTTATTTTTCATTTAATTAACATTATCGTATAACAGTTGACTGATATTTTTTTGAAGATGCTGGTCCTTCTCTTTATCGATTTCATAAGAGATTCTGTAGAACAATTTGAATGAGTTATTTCAATATAATTATATTAGACAGTGCTCGACAGGTAAATACGCTGAATATCGACCTATATGCGTTTTCTAATATACTCAATAGCTAGTAATTAAACAGTGCTCTAGCAAACTCAACTATCTATAAACGCTTTCACTCAGAGCTTAGCTCATATATTTTTTGAATTTTTATTAGAAGGCACGATATATGTACTATGATTACATCTTGCAAATCTTTAGTCAATGTGTGAAAGAGTTCATATTATTTCGTAAATGGTAAATATTCAATAAAATATTTGACTATAAGCCAAAAATCTCAATAAAAGCCATTGAAGCTATTAAACAAAATTGTTGGCTTAAGGGGGCTGTCCACAGACGAATTTGTTACACGAACATGTTCGCCGAGTTTGCCTACTAACTATGCGAACATTTTCACAAACATGTTCGCGAACATAATTTTAAAACAAATTTTGGACTGTGAACATGCCAGCGGAAGAAAACAAAATCGAGCTTAATGGCAATGAGTTAATAGAAAAAGTGCAGAAGGATTAGAATATCAGCTTTGAGGATTTAGGGTATCTCCTAGTCGAGCAGTCTCGACTAAAACCTTCTTACTTGTTTCTAGTTTTGAGGATATTCAGCTATTGGGCAGAGGCAACCCAAATTTCCTTGTGAAGCGATCATTAACAGATGCAAGGCATTTCAAAGCGCACTAGTGCATCTTCATATTGTAAACTTTGTGTATTTTTATAAGCTTGAGATCCACGAATATGAATAAATAGCACAACTCAATTTAAATCATTGCCGTCAAAAACTGTTGTACAGTTTACTTAATTGTTTAAATATTTTTGTATTAGTTTTATAAATAAAAAATTGACATTAAAATTAAAGGAACCAAGTTTTAATTAATTTTATCTAATTTTACTTTTTTATTAGGTGAAAAAAACGGGTATAATATACCGGAAATGATATCCGTTCCTGAAATACCTCAGTGGCTATCTGATGAGGGGGCTAGACACATTAATGAAAGGTCCACAAATGACAAGGCCTTACCCGAGCATGCTAAGCGTCTTTTTTGTGACGCATATATGTGTATGTACCAAAGCACAGATGTCATGATGTACCACTAAATAGGTATTTGCCATTAAGTTTTAAAATATTGTAGCATATTAAACTAAAAAAATATTTAGTTTATCTATTATCATTGAATTCAATTCAGTGTAAGTTTACTATTTTTGTAGTACCTATAAGAAAAAAATATTGCAAAAATCTGGATCTAATAACAACAATGTGAATCTGATGTATTTCAGTTTTTATATCCTGGAATGTATACTAGTGTATACCACACGAATTACAAATGTTTTTTCCATTTACTTGATTACCTTCACAAATAAAGATTTAAAATTTACTGTGCAGGTATATGTAATGAATACTAAAAAATAAAACAAAAAAAAATTAATACAGTTATTTTAATTTTGATATTTTGGAATGCTAACCAAAAAATTCGCCCATGCTGCCAGGAGCAGCCGTCACATGGTGCAGTGATTTACCAATCGTACATATTCGATTTATTTTTAAGATTCTTAAATAATTACTTTGTAAGTTTTCCTTAAATGTTTCCATCTTTCTATGTTCTATTATATCAGTAACCACACATGGCCGTTACTTGGGGCATAGTTGGTTGAATTGGCAAATAAAGTACCCTTACCGGCTTGGTGGTATTATTATGATTTTTGTCCTTTCTACCAATATAACCTTTAATAGTTTACCTTTAAGTAGACTCTAGTTTTGTCAATATCTTTACATAATTAAAACTAACACTGCACTTCATGTATTAACAATCACCTTAACAACAGCCCTCGTGGCTTTTCATAACATGCCTCCAATTATATACTTTTAGATTTATATTCTTTGTATTTAGTAATCCAGTTCTGTACGAGCCATTTAGTAATAGTCACACATTTCTTCAGCACTTGCCGATAAAGTCAATTAATTGCATTATATTAATGCAATGCAATGTAAGAAAGAAAGTAAACTCTCTAATCTAATCGTCCTATAAATGTCTCCAGTCTGGTCTAGCAGCAAAAGCTGTTGGACATTGGATAACCCTAGGATATCGCGGGATCAAATCCAAAAATTTAACTTCGTTTTTGAAAGGAATGGTCTTAATTTGGGGCGTTATTGAAAATATGACTATAATAAAAACAAGTAAGAAGGCTCCAGTCGAGACTGCTCGACTAGGAGATACCCTGAACCCTCCAAGCTGATATTCTAATCATTGTGCACTTCTTCTATGTACACATACATACACATGCACTTATAAGCGCTCTGCTAACTGCGCAGTAAGCAGCGGCTGCGCTGGGCCGCGCTGCAATGTGGGCAATATTATGAGAATTTATTTGTTGAATAATTTCTTTTGTAGACATACAATCTTAATGAAACTTTCAGAGCGTAATCATATGGTTAAAATGTGTGTACATTCCAAAGCACAAGTCTCTAGTACTTGAAATTGGGGGAGAAGGGGGCGTGGTATCCAAAATCTGTAAATTACAAAATCTTTGTGTCCATTAAATTTATACACAACGCAAATTTGAAGTCTCCAGGTTTAAAACTGTTCAAACTAGGCTGAAAAAACCAAGTCGATTTTTCGATTATTCTCGATAAAAAAGTTATCGGATGAGTTATCGAAAAAATGTGATAAACTTGTACTGCCTATGGTATACACGAGTATACATACCAAATTTCAGCTCTCTAGCTCTTATATCTTCTGAGATCCTTTTGTTCATACGGAGGGACGGACGGACGGACGGACGGACAGACGGACAGGGCTATATCGACTCAGCTCGTCGTCCTGATCAAGAATATATATACTTTATGGGGTCTGCGATGATTCCTTCTGCCTGTTACATACTTTTCACAAAACCATTATACCCTGATTTCCCATTGAAAATGGGTTCAGGGTATAATAATAGAGGATACCGTCAGTAATTTCGTCGATATCTTGAGTTTCTACTCTGATAGTGAAGAAAATGCAGTTTTTCCCGATTTGCCACGCACCTAGAGGGCGTACTTACGTAATTGTTGCCCAGTTCTTAAAACGAGAAAATAGAGTGACTAAAATGTGAATTTGAATTATAGGGTATTTTTCGATAAGCTGCGCCCCTAAAGAGGCTTAGGAATTATTCATGGATCTTAGATAGAGGAAACCTCATCTTAATTTGAAGGTTGTAGCTCTTATACTGTACGAGATATATCAAAGATATTAACGTTTGCGTTTTGCCATGCCCCTTGTGGGTGAATATTTATCCGCCATGGTTTTTTGATATTATGTAGTCAACGCGAGTATGCATACCGAATTTCTGGTTCGATTTATCCTGCGCCCAGTGGACGTGAAAATGTAATTTTTATACTCATTCACGAAAGTGAAATGAGTATATTGGTTTGGTGCGCTGTCCATATTGCTGTCCGTCCGATTGTCCGTCTTTCCGTAAGAACGCAGTTTATTTCGGCGCTATTAAAGCTTGAATATTTTGGGCAGTATTGATGCTAGAGACATAAAGTTTGGTATATATATTGTGAGGAGCAATATTGGAATGCACGTATCAATGTATATGAAAGTACGTAGTTGCTGTGCGTTTATATTCATATACGTGCATATACATGTTGCTCCACACAGCGACGCGAGTACTGTAGGAGCGACCCTCGCAACTGGTCCGACTATAGTCGGCTTCTTTCGCTCCACGCACGTCGATCATCGAGGACCGTTAGCCGAGGTGCCGTTCGGGCCGGGTGAGAGTAGTGGACACTTTCACTCGCAGGGCACCAACGGTACTTCGGCCAATGGAAGGCTGCCACGCAATTTGGCGGGAAAGTGGCGTCACCCAGATCACGCCACTTTACCGTTTTTTATGGGCACGAACGGCAGAAAGGCCCCGCTCCAGAGCCGAACAGGCTCCGTTACCACCCGAAGCAGGGCCTGTGGCTGGGCTATAAAAGGCCAGCGGCAGCTCCATAAGGGGAGTTAAAATAGTGATTATTAAGAGTGAAAGTCAGAGTGACAAGAGTGCTGAAGTGAAACAGTAAAGTGAAAATCAACGCGAGTGGCATATCAGAACCGCCGAGACATCGTGGGAACAGCAAGGACATCGTGGTAACAGCAAGAGAATCCAGCGGGAATTCTTGCGACGACTAAAGAAGCAAGCAGGATCGTCAGCGGCACCAACAAGGACGTTGGTGCAGCCCAGCAGCTTAAGCGAGGCCTGCATATCTGAGTAAGTTCACGTAGCCATGCGTAAGAGAAGTGGTGTGAGTCAAACGAATCTAGTGTTTTGCTGTGAGCGAGTGGGATAGTAGGAGAAGTCTGTATAGCCGAGCGAACCGCCGGAGTTCACAGACTCAAATCCTGGCGTTTCCGAATCGTTCCACTGAAACTAGCGTGTTTTAGCACAACACTCTCCCAGCCGGAGTGCGTTGAACCAGCACTCAACCGGTGTGCCTTGCTAAAGCGAACCAGCATAGAATCATAAAATAAGTGACGTGTAAATTTACCAGCTTATATTCAAGAATATATACTTTACGCTATAAACTATAAATCATAAGTGACTAATTAATATCGCAGGGGCTTCAACAAATAAATTTGTTGGCATGAATCCACAGTCAGCTGAAACTAGCCCAGCTTAGCCTCGGGATAAACCGAAGGTCCGTTTCACCACCCAAGTCCAAGGAGCTATGGCGGAAAAGCGTATATCTCATATATGTTATGTACATATGTACATAACATTTTTTCATCAATATTTAATGTTTTTATGTCCACAAAATTAAATTGAGCTATATGGATGATTTTCACATTTTCCACCAGTAACTTATTCCTTTCGTCTGACCACTGTGTATTTTATAAGAAAAGACCCTTTCGAAATTGTGCGCTGGAATCGCATGCAGGATTTGAGCTATTTTTGATACTTCCGAGTAACAGCACGAGTGTAAGTGTGTTGCAAAAACTGTACTACATTATCTGCGTTGTTTTTCTAAACAAAATTCTTGTCTTGTCTCGACACAAACTTCTACAAGTTTGCATTTTGTCAAAATGACTATTTTTTTATCGAAACAATTGAAAACCGGGACAATTTCGTGTCAGGTCGGGACACCGGGACATTACCTCCAAAAGCGGGACATGTCCCGAAATTCCAGGACGGATTGTCACCCTAGATTTGGCAGACCCCACAAAGTGTATGTATTCTTGATCAGGGCGACGAGCCGAGTTGATTTAGCCCTGTCCGTTCGTCCGTCCGTCCGTATGTATGAACTAGAGGGCTATATGAGTTCCAAAAATGCGTATCCGAATTAACAGTGCGCATATTAAGATTTGTGGCACCGAGGTCAAATCGAAAATTGTATGATTAAGTGCGCTCGTATATGACTCAGAAGCACACTATTCTATTGAGCGAAAAATAATTGATTAAATATGCGTCCGGGTATATAATTCGTTTCGCTGTGTGCAAAGAAAAAAGCAAACGGTAATTCAATTATGTGTGTGCAGAACAGACGGCCAACAACATCAAATTTCCCGTCATAATTTCACAGCGACAACTTATTCTTTATGTCAACGCTTTCATACCATTCCCACAAATAACGTAAATACGACGGGCAATGTAATTTTGTAATACAATATACTATGTACATATATGTCTAATAAATATTAGCACTTAGAAACATTATTTAATTTATTTTGTCCGTATTATTTAGTTAGATAAGAAGATAAGAAAACGCTAACGTTTTGCATAAGCGTGGCAAACCCTTTCAATAGCTTGGTATGGGGAAAGGGCATAAATAGAGAAAGAGAGTAAGAAACAAGTAAGAAAGCTCTAGTCGAGACTGCTCGCTACGAAATCCCCTGAACCCTTCGAAAATGTATATTTCAATAATTCTTCGCATCCTTCTGTTCACAAAGAAAATGTGGGCTTACTATGGGAACTTAATTGTTTATTAACTTTTTTTTTTTATCGATGGACTATCTTCATGAAACTTTTAGATTGTGATTATAACATTGAAATGCGACCATTGGCCAAGGCACAAGTCTCTATAAGTCTCCAGGGTAAATTTCAACACAAATCGAAATTCTATAAAATACACGTGAGCCTACATTCAAACATTCATTTGGAAACTCTAGCTTTAAAGGTATAGAAGATACATACATATAATTAAAGATCGAGCGCATGAAGCGGAATGATTGTGCTTTCGCATATTTTCGTAGCTCGGACCTAAAAGTGAAGAGCCGAGCAAATACGAAATTGATAGGCCCTAGGAGACAGATTTTTCGGTGTTGAAAAACTTTGTACTACATGTCTAGTCTATATGTTCTCTGGTCAGTGGTTTTAATAATAACAAACTATCGGGAGTAGCTATCGATTTTTTAAAGAAAAACTCGATATGCGCGTGATATACACAAACACTAACCAGAGAACACATAGAGTAGACATCTAGAACAAATTTTTTCAACGACGAAAAAATGCGCTGAGGAGACTACACAACTTCGTATTTGCTCGGCTCAGTCTCTTGAGGCTCGAACAGTGAAATATTGCACGACAAAATCAGTGTGCTGCAAGCGTAAGACCAACCAACCAGCGGAAAAATGATCTTTATTGCCAAAATTACTGATTAAGTCATAAAGGCTCATTTGACAGTCACTCTACAATTCAAACTATACAAAATTGACAAACTACTGAATCGCCAGACAATTATCATCCCATCTCATACATACATACACATATGTATGCAAATGTATGTGCTCCCTCAAAGGCCAATTAACGGTCAATTTTGGGCATTACAATTTGCTCAAGCAGCAAGAGTTACGCACACAGGCCACAAATGCTCACACATGCTTCCAGAGACTGCAAGTGTGTGTGTACTTGCCCGTCGCGAAATCATATTCTTTATGCGTATCAACGCTTTCATACCCTTCCCACGAATAACCATCGAAACGCTTACATTTTGTTTGCATGAGCGTGACAAACGCTTTTATGATTTCTGTATGCCCTTCACTCAAAAGGAAAGAGCTGGGATAGTCGCGAACAATTTTCAATTTCTGTGCGCTGCTGCTATTTGAGAGACCATAGAGAGAGATAGAATGAGAGAGAGAGTAGGACAAATAGCGCATAGCCGTGCTTCATATAAGAATGGCACCATTTTGTTTGAGCGCTTGCAGCACTCTGATTTTGTCGTGCAATATTTCACTGTTCGAGCCAGTGTTGCCAACTTTTGTTCAGCAAAAAATGCTGTTTTTAGTGGGAAGATACTTTAAAAAAAGCTGAAATTTTGTGAAAAAAATCGGACAAACAAGCTGATGGTTTTTGCTTTCATTTGATTGATATTTAAATATATTTTTAGTAACTAGAAGTCATGGCTGCATTTCTTCAACCGTGGCAAGCCGTATCTGTAAAGTTTTACACTATATAGGTTTTACCTGACGCTTAAAATTGAGTAAGCACATAAATATTCATTTTATTGGGTAGTTATTAGTGATGGCAAAAAAAAATCATTGTTCGATTATTTAATCATATGATTTATTTTAGGTGCTTTAAAGATTAATTGCAATTAATCGCAGAAAAATGGAAAACATCGATTAATCAAATGATTTTTTTGAATGCGCTTAATTTATTTTTTATGAACTCCTTTTAGAAGCAACAATAGCAATAGCAGTAAAGAATATAAATTTATTTATTTAAAATTGAGTTAAGAAATAGTAGTTGTGAAATGTGCTCTGTTGTTAACCTGTTCCTTTTTTCGGTTAATGTGGCATCCGCCTTGGAAAAAATACGTTCCGCTGGTACCGAAGTGCCCATTAAGAAACAATACCGACAAGCTATAACATATAGCTTAGGGTATACAGTACGCATCTCCTCCCAGGACAGCTCGTCTTGAATTTGAAAATGGTTACCGTCTTTCTTACTGGTTTTGTGGGCCAGTGCCTTGTGGTGGGTCCATAAATCGAACTCAACTTCGCTAGTAGATGAGCCGTCACTAGTGCTTCCTAAACTTTCATTTATATCTGAAAGCTCCGCCATTTCTTGTCGTGTGCGCGTTATGAAAACTTACCTAATTGTTGGTGCCATAATTACGCTTCGCTTTCCACCTTTTGCGCGCCAATGTTGCTTAAAATAATCGATTATTGTGTATCAAATGATTAATCGTGCCATCACTAGTAGTTATGTTTTTACAGTATTGACCTGACTAAAACTTGTTACCACTTGCGCGTTCGATCATGGCAAGGAAAGCAATGCCATTGCAAAAATGGCCAAGTCCCTACATTTTTTATTTCCTCCAGAATTCTTATAATCACACATCTCACCCTAAACTATGTACAGTCTCAAGAATTTCCCCAATGAATTGGATGATTATTCTTATATTGCTGTTCAATACTTAATGTTCTTTAAATAGAATAACTCTAGTATTGGAACGATACTATTTTTGTTTACTCGCAAAATATATACATATGCAAGAAAACGAATCAGCATTTTACACCATTTGAAAATTTGTCTGCAGCCTATTAATTAAAACATATTTAGTTAACACGAAAATTTTTGTACTACATGTCATCTCATGAGTTGCATACATTCTTTTTAATTGCTTTATAAGATCTGTTAGAGAATTTCAAGTTTGATATTCTTGCTCAAATAAGTTATATTGAATAATGTATAATAATATTTTAGTTTAGTCAGTTTCCACTCTATTATCGATTGGCGCATTCATAGAAAATTGACATAACGCATTATTTAGTTTTAATTCAACTGCAATGACAAACACTTCTACATACGATAAATCGCTACAAATAATGATAAATTGATCAGTATAGAAAAAAGTGGAAAAAAAGCAAATTAAAACTGATTTGGCAACACTGGTTCGAGCCTCAAGAGACTGAGCCGAGTAAATACGAAGTTGTATAGTCTCCTCAGCGCATTTTTTCGTCGTTGAAAAATTTGTTCTAGATGTCTAGTCTATGTGTTCTCTGGTTAGTGACACAAACCTAGGAAAAAATTTCAAGTCTCTAGCTCTTATACCTGAGATCGACGCGTTCTCACATACGAACGGACAGACTAGGGCTGCAAAACCATCGATAGAGGTTACCCTCGATAGATTTATCCATCGATGGAATGAGCCATCGATACTATCGATAGTTCCATCGAAGATTTGAAGTTTTTACAAATGAATAAATTTTAAATAATTTCGATCATACATCCAGCACAAAATGATTCGTGCAATTTTGTATAAGAAGGCAATACAATAGTAACCGGATATTTATGTGATGGTTGTATATCTAATAAAATATATATTGTATTACATATGGATAAAATTGGATGCGTCATCCTCAGAAGCGGTGGGCAAAAATCTAGTAATACTAGCAGCAGCAAAGGAAGACTTAGAATTATCAAAGTGCGCCACAGTAGAACGCGAAGCAGAAGCGCCATCTTAAATGTATGTACATAATATAATAAAAAACAAACTTGCACTTTAAACATCAGTTTGATATTATTATTAACTTAATGTTTATATATATATGTTATGTTATATATGTATATTCCGGAAAATGCTTACATGCGTCTCTTCGCGCCACCTAGTTGTAAATTATCGATGGATGAAAAAAACCATCGATATATCATGAAAGCCCAAATCCATCGATACTATCAATAGTCTGCATCGATGGATTTGCAGCCTTAGGACAGACAGTCGGGCAGGGCTAAATCGTTACATACTCTTACATACTCTTAACAAGACCATTATACTCTAATTTCCCATTGAAAATGGGTTCAGGGGTATAAAGCTAAGCGCGCAGTTGGGCTTCATATTAAAATGCGTGCTCTTCGCGTGAGCTTGGTGTGAGAATTTTTCACAGCTCGAGCCTCAAACGAAGGAGCCGGACGGTGTTGCTACGAAAATATATGTATGCAAAAACTCGAGTGACTCGACGCCTATATGCTTCGGTTAACTTTTGTATTCCGCTTTTGGTATTATTTATTCTCACTCATTTTACTGAAGTCAGGGAGATCTGAGATCATGAGTCCATGCGACTTTGCACTCTTTCAATATGTTTTATGCCCCTCTGAACGAATACACTTTACTATGTTGGTGTTTAGTTTCGTATTGAATCTTTATTCTGCTGGGCCCGGGTTTTTATACCCAGACTCATGTATAATTTGAACCATTAAATCTAGTGCTTCTATTGCTGAGTGTGTAAGGCTCAGCATTGGTCTATTACATATTATTAACTTATCGCGTAGTTTGTCAGACTCCGCATTGGTTTATTAGCTATTCTTATGCTATCGCTAAGTTTGTAATGCTCAGCGCTCGCCTCTTACGTATTCTAATCGCTAAGGGTCAGGGTCATAATTTATCCCCAGTTTGACAGTTCACACTTGAAACATATGTTATTTATTTTATGCTAGCTGTCGA